CAGCTTCTTGTCACTAGGCCACCAGAGCTCGCAAAAATAAATAAATAAATAAATAAATAAATAAAATTCCTGCATTTGTAATCAGAGGTACCCAGTTCGAATCCACCAGATGCTCTGCTGGAGAAGGAGGGGCAATATCCTCCTGTACCAGTCAGATCCGATTTAATGGCACACACATACACAAAATAATAAAATAAAATTTTAAAAAATCTAACTTCTAAAAAAACCCATACTCTTTCATTGTTATATAATCCCTACCCTCAGTTAACTCCACTGTGCAGCCTTCATTCTGGACTCCTGTCATAACAATAATACCTAATCTTATATCCCTTTTAAACAGTTTTCTCCCTCATCTGTTTCAATGCAGTATACATTGTTGAAACCATCTTTCTCAGTCTCTCCCCAACCCCAAAGTCAGTCCTGTTTTACAACAATGGCACCATGCAGTATTTGTCCTTTAGTGACTAAGATACCTCACTCAGCATAATGTCCTCCAGAGTCACCCATTTGGAATAATATTGCATGAGTTCTTTGCTTTTCAATGCAGTATAGTATTCCATTGTGTGAATATACCACAGCTTCTCTATCCATTCGTTTGTTGATGGGCACTTAGGTTGTTTCCAACTCCTTGCTATTGTGAACAGAGCCACAATAAACATAGGTGTGCATATATCTGCTTGGATGTCAGTTATGGTCTCTTTGGGGTATATTCCCAGTAGTGGGATTTCTGGGTCAAATGGTATTTCTATTTGCAACTTTTTGAAAAAGCACCATACTGCCTTCCATACTGATTGCACCATTTTACACTCCCACCAGCAGTGAATTTGGGTTCCAGTTTCTCTGCAACCTAACCAGCATTTGTTGCTTGCTGTTCTTTTAAATTTTGCTATTCTTATTGGGATGAGATGAAATTTCATAGTTATTTTGATTTGCATCTCTCTTAGAGCTAGGGATTTTGAATATTTCTTCATGTGTTCACCATGTGAATGTCTTTGGTGAAGCACAATTCCATTTTACCACATACAACTCTGACATTGTCTTCAACAGCTTGGGCAGACTGCTGTCCTCCTAGGCCTCCTTCATCAGTCTGGCACCAGGATAAACCTGTGGCCACTTCATGGTTTCTAGGTCAAACAGGAGGAATATCTAAAGCCAAACAGTCAGGTGCTGTCAGTGGCACATCTTGGCCTGCAGGGCGACAGAATCCAGTTTAATGTCCAGTACTTGTTGTCTCAGATTGACCCCTGTGTCTCTCAGAGTTTGTGTTTGTCTCTCACATTGCTCTGTGGCATTCATTTTCATTCCAAGGAGACTCAAGTTCATGACCTTGTTGTTCCCACAGTCAAAATGACAAAAAGGCTCTTTATCTACCTGGCCTTGAGCCTCACACCATGACTGTCCAGGTGTGGCCTTATGTATGATGGTGAAGTTGTAAAGGGACTGAGGCTTGGCTGGTCCCTCCAAGCCTAACAGCTGCAGCAGAAGCAGAAAGAGAGAATGGAGTCTGGAATCCGTGCTTTGGGGACCTGAGTGCAGGAGAGGTTTTGGGGGTGCAATTGGTGGTGGCAGGAGTGCCAGTGGTTCAGTGGTAAGGAATTGTCAAGTTGTAAACAATGCATGGCTGACCCACCAGTGTGTTTTCAGAGGCATGGGAGAAGATTGCCCATCTTCTTCCACTGAGCCCCTGATGGATTTGAATGCTGTCTTCAGGTTGGCAGCGCAACTCCTTGCCACCAGGCCACCGGAGCTCTCTGTAGCTTAGTGGTTTGTTGTTCCTGTGTGCTTTATGTGATGTCGCATTCCCTGCAACTCATAATGACCTCATGCGCAACAGCTCTGAACCCTGTCCTATCCTGAGCCAATCTCATTGTCTCTGACACACCTACGCCATTGCCCCAGTTACTATGTCAAACTATCTCATCCAGGGTCTTCCTCTCTTGGGCAGTCACTCCCTCCTTCCAAGCATGAGATCTTTCTCTAAGAACTGGTGCCTCCTTGCAACGTGCCCAAAGTGTGTGAGACGGAGCTTCAAGTCCTTGCCTCTAAGGAGCAACTTGGATTCACTCTACCCAGGACAGACCTGGTAATTCTCTTGGCAATTCACAGTATGTTCATTATTCTTCTCCAGTTCTACAGCTCAAAGGCATCAATTCTTCTTCTGTCATCCTTATTCATTGTCCAGCTCTGTGTTGTATATCAAGTAATTGTGAAGATCATGGCCTGGAAGCACTTAAATATTTGCACCACCCAAAGTCTCCCATTGTCTGCCTGGAGGGGACATCATTTACTTGAAACTAACACACTTTCCCTTACCAAGCAGCAAGCCAGAGGAATTGCATCTGTCAGAAAGGGGCATCTTTTGCTGGGTTTCACAAAAATTCCCTATGAGCTAGAAGGGCTTTGCTATTCAACCAAATGGTAGCAGAGAACTGAGTACTGGGGACGAAGAGACAGCACAAAATTAGAGATATTTATTAAAGGTAGATCAAGATAAATTAACAAAGGAGCAAAAGAAATGGAAGCAAAGAATAAAAATGACTTAGTGAGGTTAATATGTCTAGATCAAATTTAGAGAGAGCAGAGATCAAAAGAGTGAAATTTGCAAAGCATGTTTTTTCCAGAAAATGCAATTCTGAAGAGATTGAAAATAGATTAGCAAAATATAGATTAGTTCATTAGGAATAAGGAAGGTAAGCATGAGTTTATTTGTACCTATTACTAATCTGTGGTGAAGAGTTACAGATGTCTTCTACTACAGCTAAGGCTAATATTTTATCAAATGCCTGCTCTGGTAAATTGTTTAATTCTTAGAGTTTTAAAGCTACCTCTTCAGCCCCCAATGAATATTTAAAGTTTGTCACTGTAGTAAAATAATCTTCTAGCTTTCTACAATCTAGATTGAAAATAGATTAGTGGCAAGCTCTGGTGGCCTTGTGGCCAGAAGCTGCACTGCAATCCCAGAGGTGAGCAGTTCGAATCCACCAGATCCTCTGCTGGAGAAGGAGGGGCAATTTTCTCTGGTACCAGTGAAATCTGATTTGATGGTACACACAAAAATAATAATAAAAAAAAACTAAAACAAGAAAAAAGAAAATAGATTGTTGTTGCTGTTGTTGTTATGTGCCGTCAAATTACTTGTGACTCATAGCGACCCTATGTACAACAGCCCTAAACTCCGCTCTGTCCTGTGCCAATCTCACTGTCTCCGACACTCCCATCCCAATTACCCCAGTTGCTGAATCAGTCCACCTCATAGAGGGCCTTCCCCTCCTGCGCTGTCCCTCCACCCTACCAAGCATGATGTCCCTCTCCAAGGACCTGTCTCTCCTTGCAACATGTCCAAAGTATGTCAGACGAAGCCCCAGAATCCTTGCCTCCAAGGAGCCACCTGGTTTAACCCTTTCCAGGATGAATCTGTTTTCCTAGCAGTCCATGGTATTCTCAATACTCTTCTCCAGCACCACAGCTCAAAGGCATCAATTCTCCTTCTATCCTCCTTGGTCATTGTCCAACTCTCTGATGCATAACAAGTGATTGCAAAGACCACGGCCTTTATCAGGCGCACCTTAGTCTCCAGAGAGACACCATTGCTCTTCAGTACTTTGGAGAGGTCCTTAACAGCAGATTTTCCCATGACAATTAGGGGGGGAAAGGTGTTTTTAATCCACCAGCTGCTGTGAGGAAGAACGAGGTGGTGGTTTTTCATGACCACAACTTGGAAAATCCATTATGCTTTGTCCTCCAGGGTCACTATTAGCCAGAATCAACTAGGCAACAATGGGTAGGGCTTGGAGCAGGAATGAGGACTGAGTGAAAAGTAACATCAAGTTTCTTTTTAATGTGATGAAAATATTCTAAAATGAGATTGTAGCGGTGGCTGAACAACTTTGTAAATGTACGAAAACTCACTGAATTGTTTATTTAAATTAGTTGTCATGTATAGTGGTAAAGGATATTTCAGTTAAACCATTTAAAAAATTGTTGTTGTTGTTATGTGCCATTGAGTCGCTTGTGAATCATAGCGACCCTATGTACAAGAACCCTAAACGCCGTTCTATCCTGTGTCAACCTCACCATCTCAAACACACTCATTCCCACCACTCCACTCACAGAATCGATCCATCTTATCGAGGATCTTCCTCTCCTGCACCATCTCTCCACTCTCCCAAACACGATGTCCCTCTCCAAGGACCAGTCCCTCCTTGCAAAATACTATTTGTCTTTTGTCAGTTTTAGCATCACTAAAAGTGCAAGACAAGGCATTCTGTTCTTCCAATGTGGTGGAAAGGAGGCTCATAGCAAGCACCCCTCTGATGTATTTTTTCCTTCCAAAGTGGAACCTGACTTTAATTTAGCTATCAGTTTAGAGGCAAAATGGAGCTTGGAGGAAGAAGTTAAAGAAAACCACAAGGCAACAAAATTACAAATCCAGAATAGGAAATACTCTAGAAAGCTTCATTTCTCCTCTAATTAATATCATGAAGATAAGAAAAGACAATAAGGGGATCTATTAGGGAGCTCTAGTGGTAAGAAGTTGCACTGCAATCCCAAAGGCACATGGTTCGACTCCACTAGTTGCTCCATGGTAGAAGCATGGGCAATCTCCTCCTTTGCAATCTACTGACTCTGAAAAAGCACTAGAGGATCAACTATGGGTCAGCTCAGACTTGACAGCACATAACAACAACAATTATGGCTGAAAAGGAACAGTAAGTGCCCTAACAGTAAGGAGCTGAGCTGCCAGCCCAAAGACACGTGGTTCAAATCCACCAGCTGTTCTAGCCTAAGCTCCTCTGAGGACAAAAGAAACTTTGAGGTGCTACCCATGGTAAACTCACGTTTTGAGACCTCCGTCACCTCTCAGAATGGCAGGAATTGATTGGGCGCCCTGGTGCCAGCTTTCTGCTAAACTGGGAGACACACTGACTAAACCCCAATATCCTGCATCCATCCACCACAGTAGTGACAAGAGCATCAGTCAGGGGCCCCGTCCAACCCTCTCCAAAGTTCCTCTTTTCTCTCTTTTTCCAAATTTCTTATATCATTTTGAGATTTTTATTTGTTCATTTGTTTTTGTGAGTTTTCATCTTTTCCTTCATATTTCCTCCTTCATCTTCTCTCTAGCTTTCCCCCCTTTTCCTGAAGATATTTTCTTGTGTCTCTTTTCATCCTTCTATTCTGATTATTGCTGTGGTGTTGGCAAAAAGGACTCACTAGCCCATGGCCTACCAAAAGTACAAACAAATCTGTCTCGGAGGAAGTACAACCAAAATGCTCCATAGCAGCAGGGATAGGGAAACTTCATCTCACTTGTTTTGGGCATATTTTCAGGAAGAACCATCCTTGGAGAGAGACATCATGCCGGAAAAGGCAGAGTGTCAGCTAAAGAGGAAGGCCCTCAACAAGATGGATTGACTCTCAATGAGATGGACTGACACAGTGATCACACAGTGAACATGAGCATTACAGAGATCACGAGATGGCGCAGGATAGGACAAGGTTTGGAGCTGTTGTTTATAGGGTCACTGTGAGTCATAGTCTGTAGGAGAAAAATGGGCAATCTTGATGGCACCTAACAACAATTCTGATTATCCTTAATTTTTTAATCCTCTCAGTTTTGCTTTGAGTTGTTCCCCTTGCCCCCCGTTTTCTTTTATGTCCCAATCTTGCTTCTGGTGTTTTGTTTTTTTTTGCGGGGGTGTGTTTCTTACTATTTTCTTTTGTTTACCTTTTGCTTTGTTCCATCTAACAACAGACAGTAACTATATTCAACCACACATAGAGACACCTTTTGTGACTTCAGCCATTGGACAGGAATAAAGATTGGCTCTCTGCTCCACCTCATCTACAAAAGGCTTCAGCCAACAACAGCTCAGTCTGCCCTCAATTGCTCTCGACAAACAGCCCACAGAGGACCACATGTGCACACCAGCATCCTTTTTCACACTCATGAGAAGACAGGAGGTAAGATATTAAAAATTACCAAAATGGCAAGTGACCCAAAAATCTCACAAGGATCAATATCAAAGTAATACAAACATAATGCCATCACCAGTCTTGAAGGTGGCAAATAACTTTAAACTAGCAAAACAAAACAGAACAAGAAAAATCAAAACAAAACCCAAAAAAGTCGTCACAATACAGAACCAGAAAAATCTTTCAGAAGAAAAAATGCTATTGAAACTTCTTGATGTAGGTACAAAAGAATGATAGTTTAGTGTCTCTAGCAGATTAAGAAAAGGCTGAGAAAAACTACAGCCAAAATTCTGGAAAGTAGAGATCTAATTATAGACATTAAAAAAACAACAACAAAGAAATTACGACAGAGAAAAGAAATGGAAAATTGAAAGCTATTTTTTTAAAAAAAGCAAAACAGAGCTCTGGTGGCCTGGTGGTAGGAGACTGCACTGCAATCCCAGAGGTGTGCGGTTCAAATCCACCAGATGCTCTGCAGAAGAAGGAGGAACAATCGCCTCCTGTACCAGTCAGATCCAATTTGACGGTACACACATAAAAAACCAAAAAAAAGCAAAAACAAAAAAAAAAAAACCAGCCAGAAAAGTGAGATTCAGAACATTAAGACCAAAATTACAGAAATAGAGAACAAGTTGAAAGGACAAACAAGGAGAATTTAAAAACTAGAACAGACCTAGCGAGATGGAGGACAAATCCTGAATGCTAATATATTATAGAAATAAAAAAAAGAAGAAAAGCAGAAGAACCATGTAGAACATAATTACTCATGATTGGATCTCAAGAATGGGGAAAAAAAACAAAAACAGAGAATATCATTGAACATTTACTGGAAAAGCATTTCCCAAGTATTGTGAAAAAGGAGAGAATATGCTTTTGAGAAGTTGAGCAAACCCCAAGAAGGATAGGCCCCCAAAAGTAAAATACCGAGACATCATAATCAAATTCTCCAAAATTAAAGAGAAAAAAAAAAGAATACTGAAAGCAGCCGAGGAAAAATTATATTAGACAGCCAGTAAGACTCAGATTTCTCAACAGAAACCATGCAGAAAGAAAGGTAATGGAATAACACACTTAACACTTATGAAAGGGGGTGGGGGTGGAAATCATCCACCAAATGTTCTATACCCAGCAAAACTTTATCTTGCAGTCGGATCCAGGCACCAGCTGCGACCACTCTTGTCTTCTCTTGCTCTCTTTACCATATCCCTTTCGCTTCAGGAAACATGGCCTCTGGTGTGGCTGTCTCTGATGGTGTCATCAGGTGTTCAGTGACATGAGGGTGAGCAAATCAATGACACCAGAGGAGGTGAAGAAGTGCAAGAAGGCAGTGCTCTTCTCCCTGAGCGAGGACAAGAAGAACATCATCCCGGAGGAGGGCAAGGAGATTCTGGTTGGAGATGTCGGCCAGACTGTCAATGACCTCTATGCCACCTTTGTCAAGATGCTGCCAGACAAAGACTGCCACTATGCCCTCTCTGATGACACCTACGAGACCAAGGAGAGCAAGAAGGAGGACCCGATGTTTATCTTTTGGGCCCCTGAGTGTGCAGCCCATAAGAGCAAAATGATCTATGCTAGTTCCAAGGATGCCATCAAGAAGAAGCTGACAGGGATCAAGCATGAATTACAAGCAAACTGCTATGAGGAAGTCAAGGACTGCTGCACCCTGGCAGAGAAACAGGGGCAGTGCTGTCATCTCCCTGGAGGGCATGCCCTTGTAAGCCCCTTCAGCCCCCTGCCTAGAGCATCTGGCAGCCTCATATCTGCCCATAGGGATTGCAGGCTGCTCCCTTCCTGCCAGACCAGAGAGGCTGGGGGTGGGGGATCCCAGCAATGGGGAGGGCAATCATTTCAACCTAGTTGCCAAACTGTCCCCCACCCCCTTCTCCCTTTTCCCCTGATGGTTCTGGCCATCCTAAATAGCTTTTGATCTTCTGATTTTTATTGGGTTGAAACAGACCAAGTTCCCCCAGATGTCCCAGTTTAAGGGGTACCTTTATTTTTTTTACTGACACCTCCATTCCCTACCTATTCCTTTCCCTTTCCTGGCTGCCAATTTCTAACCACAGTAGTGACTCTGTGCTTGTCTGTTTATCTGCATATAAATGGAACGCTGTGGAGATTACCTCTCCCCTTACTGGCTGGTTCCCATTCCCTTGTCCCCTGGACATGCCCACTTGAGTCAGGGCCACCCAGAAACCTTCCATTTAAAACAAATAAACAAAAATAAATAATAAAAAAGTTAACAAAAAAAAAAACCAAAAAACCCCAAACCTTTGTGGATAGCAAAGTTAGCTCCTTTCCAGATAAACAGAAACTAATGGAGTTTGTGAAAACTAGATTAGCACTATAATAAATACCAGGGAAGGGAGCTCTGGTGGTAAAAGCTGTGCTGCCAACCCAAAGGTAAAATTCAAATCCACCAGCTGCTCCACAGAAGAAAGATGGGCACACTCCACTCCTGGGATTTACTGCCACTGAAAACTGATTAGAGGATCTGTTTTTAGAGCAACAACAGAAACACTAACTGGCGTTCTACTCAATGGAGTTCTTTGGACTGAGAGTCAATAACTGGAAACAAACCAAAATGTACATGATTGATTCAGAAATTGAGTCAGACAGAGAAATACCCAAGTTACAATAAACATAGGACATTAAAAATAGGGAAGTAGTGATATAAGTAATGACATAAGGAGAGGAAGGCCCTCAACCAGGTGGGTTGACGTGGTGACTGCTGCAATGGGCTCTTATGTGTCAGGAAGTGTGAGGATGGCCAGGACAGAACAGGGTTTAGATCTTTTGTTCATAGGTCGTTATGCGTCGTCCTTGATTTGGTGGTACCTAACAACAACAGCAGCAGCAGCGTAAATGAAGATAACTACAATGCAAAAAGAAAAAAAAAAGGACAGAGGTACGCCGTTGGAATCCACCAGATGCTCTGCTGGAGAAGGAGGGGCAATCTTCTCCTGTACCAGTCAGACCCGATTTGACAGCTCTCACACAAAAAAATAATAAGATTTTAAAAAGTTTTTTAAAAAAAATGGAGAGGAAATCAAGGAGATGTAAAAAATAAACAGAATTATGTCATTCTTTTCCTAGATTTTAATTTATTTTATACATTACATCCCAATAAGTCTTAATCCAAAATTAGACCAGAACAATCTGGATTGTTGCCCTAACAAAATTAATTAGTAGTCACAACATCAAGTTATCAATGCCACCTAAACAAAATGTCGATACCTCTGCATCTTCACCAAGTGGCAGTTGTTTGGTGATGGCTTTGTCCACCAGGACTCTGACTTTCGTGAAGCCTGTTGTCTTTTGCTTGTCCTCATATTCTCAGCTGATCTTCGGACACTTCTGCCTCCCAAATAATCAAGCACAGATGTGAGTGTAAGTTTTTTTGTGATAAAGGCTTTTTCATGATCTTAGCGTTTTCTTAACTCTTTGTCAAGTTTGATGCTTCAAAGTAACTAATCACTCCTTCATAGTTTAATAGCTGGCTTCTTACACCAAAGGCCATCTTCTTCAGCGGTTTCTGAAATGCACGTAACAGGATCCTTCCGCAGGATTTTACCAGGTTTAGAAGACAATGGCATGTTTCCTGGTTGGTTTTTGGTCTTTTAAGCTGATCATAAATTATCCACTTTTTCTCGTTTGGTTGTTTCCGTTTGAAGTCATCATCTCAGTAAGAAATATTTATTTGAATTCCTTTATTCCTTTGTTTCTAATGTTTCTTCAGTAGATTTTGTTTTCTCATTCTTTTTCACTGCTTCATTTACCAGATTCTTTCCACTTGGTATAACACCAAAGAATTTCCGGATATCCATCGCAGCCCAGGGTGGGTATCCCTTACCAGGGCCGGGATCCATTCCCGCTTACAACTTCTCCCACAAATTTAATGAACTATTTTAGACGTGGAAATAAAATAGAAACTTACAGGGTAACCTCTAAGAAAATGAATAAATTGACTCATATAAATAAAAAATAAGAAAATTATAAAGACTTTAATAAGCACATAAACAACAATGGTGAAGAAACTAATTATAAAAGCATAAGCCAAAATTAAATTGGCAATGAAAAGGAGACAAGACAAAGAAATCAGTAATATCACGTAAAAGAATCCAGCAAATGATAGCAATGAAACTATGTCTATCAATAATTTCGTGACTGTTAATAGATTAAATGCACCAGTCAAAATTTTAAAAAAGTAGCAAAATGGATAAGAAAGCATGACTCACCAATATGTTGGACACAGGAAAAAATACTTTAGACACAGTACAAAGACAGATTGAGGGGAGCTC